TAGGTACCGTGTCTTTTTAATAAAGCATATTCTTCACTTTAAAAAGATCTCTACCATAAATGTTTAAATTAAATTATGTTAAATTCTGGACATTCTAAGAAAGTATCAGTTCAGTAATTAATGCCTATTATTTCCCAGCGATAGACACTGGTCATCAGTGCAGATTCTGAAACTTGTAAGAGTTTCTTCTGGTTAGCTTAGGTATCACTCTTGCATAACATATAAATATTGTGTGATTAAGATGTGTAATTGAAATGTCTAACTTTCAGGCAGCTGCTGGTCTATGTGACCTTTTGTAACAGAAGGGTTCTTTTATCACTTGAGCTTTTGGTTTTGTACTTCTCATCTGCTCTCTTCTGCCAGCGTAACCAAGAATTTAAATCAAAATCTAATTAGACTACATATGCTGTTTAGGAAAAAGTTCTTGGAAAAGTCATGATTCATTATAAGCTTTGATATTTCCAGATAAATGAGAACAAATGTAATTTTAATTGTTTTAAATTACTTTCAATCATTCTTTTACTCAAATAAAAGGAACTGAATACAGCTCTTTGATTAAAAAAAAAAAAAAAGAAAGAAAGAAAGAAAGAAAAGAAAACCTGGTAATGAAAGAACCAGCTCTAGGTTCCCATCAACTGTACAGTTTATGTTTAATGATGAAACCCTTTATTGAAATGCATGATTTTCAACTAAGTAGTATTAAAACTCAACTATTTTCTAATATATTTCTGATACCATTATCATAAACTTCTAATCAAAACTTGTTAAATGACATTTAATTCCTGCAGGAAAAATAAATAAATAAATAAATAAATAAAAAATAAAAGCTCTCTGTGTACACATATTGACCATCTAGGATATTTGCTTTTTAGCAATGTTTAAATAAAAAAGTTAGTATATTTTTATATTTAGCCTTTTATATTCTAGTAGCAAACCTGAATGTATTTTAACTACGATGCACTTACCTGATTTACACTTTGCAACATTCTAACTGATTGTAACAGACACTAAGGCAGGCCACATTTTGAACTTTCAATGGATTAAAAAAAGATGTGTCAGTAAGAGAGAGCTTTTGTCCAAACACAATCAATATTAATAAATATATTTGGAGAAGAAAAAAAAAAAAAAAAAAAAGTGTTGGCCACAGATACTTTTCACAAACATGTAAGTTCTATTACTGAAAAAAAAAAGGGGGGGGGGGAAAAGAAAGAAAGAAAGAAAGAAAGAAAGAAAGAAAGAAAGAAAGAAAGAAAGAAAGACAGAAAGAAAGAAAGACAGAAAGAAAAACTTCACATGAGTATGGCCTACTTAGTTATTTGACCCAGTTGTTAATAAGAAATAGACAGAATTTTATTTCAGAAAGCCATTTTCTACTGTTTTAAGAATAAGAACTTGAGTATTTCCCCTGATAGATAGCTGACAAGTCATTATGAGGAACCTTGTCTTCTATCGTCAATCCAATATAGTCCTTTATTAATTGTTTGAATGCAGTCTTGTGTCATGCTGCATGTAAAAATGGTATTCTGGAAACTTGCATCAGGACAATAGAGATTGTCAATAACAATTTCTGTAAGCATAAGCATTGGTTTTAAATGCACAAAAGTAAAATTTTATAAATTTGAAAAATAAATAAAGCAAGAATACAGGCATAGGTTCAGATTCTCCATTACTTCATAACTTTCATGACTCAATAACTCTACAGCAATTTATTTATGTCACCTGCTTCGATACGTAATGCATTCATACAGGCATCCTACTTATATTTACTGTTTTGTCATTATTGATATGTGATTATCAGAACAAGAAAACACGTATGTAAAGACATCAGACTTCAATAATATTTTTGCAGAGTAAGTGGAAGATGGATTTGCAGAGGCACGAGGCTAACATACAAAATTTCTAAATAATGTACAGCGTCTATTGACAATCCTAATTATATAAGTTGCATATGTATATTCATTGTTACAATGAATATACTATCAATAATAACAGCTTTCAAAATATTCTCAAATTCCAAATTCTAAGCATTTTCTGTCATTTTTTTTTTTAAGATAATGCACCCCAATGAGAAGTTTAATAAGATGACCTTGACTACAAAAGGCACGTTTTAAAAAGAATATATATGAAACAAAACAAAAAATCATTATCATGTAAGATAGCTGAATATGAACCGATAACCTAAACAACTCCTGACTGAAAATAACTTTCTGCAATACAAAACACTTGATTTAAAATCCTCTTCAGGAGGCATGTAGTGGAACACAGAGTATTTGAAAAGTTTTTTCTTATGGTTTCAGATAAAGGAATAACAATACAGAGCTGAAGTTTTAGAAATGTACATAAAAGTTATTTTTATGCGAACTGTTTTCTATAACCAAAATTATGTAATTATGAAAGACATAACTTGCCGATCTAATTACTTTGAGAATTGACATTGATGAAGGTGAGGGAGATGGGGAAGGGGTAGGTAATATTTGATTAAAAGTTTCAGGTTGACTGATATCCGGTGTAAATTTTATTTATCTTGTCATCAGGTATAACTAGTCACCTAGATGAAAAGCTCTCTTCTTCTGTGAATGAAGCAGCTCTCCTACAATAGTAATGATCTCTTAAATATAAATATGTTATTAAATAAGCTTTTTATTTTACTAAGCCAGTGCATATATATATGATAACAGAGTAAAGTCAGTATTCTTAGATTTTTGTTTAATAGAAGATAAAAAGCAGCTCACCACATAAAACAATCAAATAATGTGTACCTCAAGTGCGTAGTTAGATGTCAAGCTATTTACTACACATAAATGCTGATTCCTATGCTAGAAAGTATCTAGGTCTCCAGTGCTCTAAAAATTAATATTTACGTACAGAAAAAGAAAAGAGAAAAAGAAAGAAAGAAAGAAAGAAAGAAAGAAAGAAAGAAAGAAAGAAAGAAAGAATGCTGTGATTGAATGTATTAGGTATAATATGTATAGAACACCAGTAAGTCCAGAGCAACATTGCAATGACCATTTTATTTCACCAGTCACCACAAGTTTCTATCGTCACCTGCACACACTTCAGAGCAGATCACGTACAAGCACATCAAAGCACGTGGCTAGCAGAGCACTGGACCCGCTAAACACTCCGCTTCATCAGCGACCAGAGTGAACCAAAAAGGGACCTGCAGCACCAACTCGGGGCGCACGTGGTACAGAGCGGCTCCCCGCAGCCCGGCTCGGCTCCGACAGCCTCCAGCTGCGGGCGCTGTCCTGCAGCACCACGGACAGAGGCCTTCCCGCTCCCGGCGCGCGCCACGCAAGTCTACAAAACACGAAGTTGCACCCTTTTCTCATTGCTATTATTAATAACATTATTTTCCGTCCGGAATATCTCGTTTTTTAACGCAGATTAGTTGGCCAGATTCTCAGGACACAATTCCATCAACTGACAAGTCTAGCATTCAGAACTGAAGGTCTGTCATTGGCATTACGTTTATCTAGTTTGCTTGTATATCTCATGTAAGCATTTTATTTCGACAGCTACTTGACCATCCTTAGAAAAGCATTTCTCTTCATTCAGTCTCCAAGATGGAATTAATATTTGTATATTTGTTACTGCGTGCACATTCAGTATCTTCTGTATCGCGATATATTGCAGATCAAAAACACAATTTGTGGTAAAGTTCAGCCTGATTAGATAGCAATATGAAAGAAAATAACTTCTAGCCTGAAGATTCATTTGGCAGCCGAGAGCAGTAGGTCAATTTCTAGGTTAAGGAGTTACTGAAATGGCAAAGATGTCCTCACAGCAGTAGACATCTATTTATATTTGACACGCTTTTTATTTATCCAGTTTATTCTTTTTTACTTAAATGATTCACTCTGGAAATATATTTACACCACCTGAATACATAAAACATACATGACACCAGAAACAGTGGAGTCAAAATTACTAATGAAACTACTTCACTTTTGTCAGCTTAAATGGGGGAGGGTAACTTTCTCGCTGAAAGAGATAACAGGATTTCAGCTTCTGGAGTGGCTGAGGATTCATTTTTCAGGCAAATATATGTGTAAAGTACACTACATGAAGAGGGAGTAGGATGCTTTGGGGATGTGCTGTCACCATTAAGTGATTTCAGAAGGCCCTGCTGAAATTACGGAGCACTGATCCATTGCTAGGCCTTCTGCTCAGCACAGGGATTTGTACGCACTGTTGTGCTCCACTGCTAAAGCAGGATTGTTTCAGATTGGTTAATGTAGTGCTACAGTAGTTGAGTTAATCCAGTACAGGGTAGAAACCATTCACCTGGCCTGGCACTCAATAAATATCTGAACAGGGAAAACAGTATGCAGATAATTATTTAAAGTGCAAAAGATGACACTTTTTTCTCATCTTCTCCGGTCTTGAGAGTTAGGCCAACTAATCTTGTGCAAAAGTATAGAGAAGACAACTCCAAAGAACCAAAGTGGAACCCTGCCTTCCAGCAGAGGAAACCAAAGACCTCTTTGGACATCTGAATGCTCACTTCTGGCCCCAAAGCCAACGACCAAGTCCTAAAGAGATGCCATCACCAGACAAGGGCCACCATCACTTCCCAGCCAAGGATCACAACACTCCCCGCACACAGCCACCTCCTTCTCGAGCCCTTCCCTCTCCACAGATGTAGCCGAACACCTGGAGGCAGAGATCCCGTCCCCCCGCTCCACCGCCCGCGGGGCCAAACGCAGACAGGAACCGACCCGCAGCCCCCAACCGCAGCCAGAGGCCGGTCCACCCGTCCTTCGGGCAAAACTCAGAGCCCGAGGAAAACGCAGAGCCCGGCCACCCTGCGCCCCTCACCGACCCCGGCTGCCGTCTCGGGCCCCGCTCATTGGCATGCAGACCCCGTCGCTGCCTGCCGCCAAGCCGCATCCCAGCCCGCTGCGAGCCGGCAGCCGAGACGGAGCCAATCGCATATTCATGAGGAGGGGGAAATCCAGCTCTGCACTCCCAGAGGACCAAGAATCACTCTTATTTTTTTAACATTCCCCCGTCTGCTTGCCTCCCTTAGAGCAGCGCTCACCCGGGGGCCCTGCGCAGCGGCCCCAGCTGCTCCCACCCGCGGACAGCGGCCGCCGACGCCAGGCGCACCCCGAGCATCCCCAAAGCGGAGCGCCCGCACAGCACAGCGCAACGCGCAGAGGGACGGCGCGGCACGCGCAGACGGAAGGCACCCCGGCAGCCCGCCGCCGAGGGACAGGAAACACAGCAGGGCCTCCTACCTTACAATCCTCAGGACACGATTTCACCGAGTACTCATCCGACTGTAAATACTTCTGGAGCATAACCTCAAACTCTTCGTATTTCTCCTGAGCGTGCTGGTCGTAGCGCTGGTAAGCCTGGACGCACTGGCTGCAGGAGCCTCCCCCCCTCAGCACCACATCCAGACTGCAGTTCAAAGTGTCCGGATTGGACAACCCGGCGAACAACTCCCAAAGTGTGTAGGAATTACAAAAGGAAAGGTAAAAATCCATCAGTTCCCAGCCGGGCGCCGGGCTCTGCCCCGCGCCCCGCGGCAGTCCCGGGTCTCCCCGCCGCCGGCACACCTCCTCGGCGTCCCCCACGCTGAAGCAGCGTCCGGACGAGCGGCCCGGCGGGGGGCACGTCTCCGGGGGCGCGGCGGTGGAGTTCCCCAGGAAGGCAGCCTCGCCGTGCCGGGGCTCGCTGCCTCCGCCGCCGCCGCCGCTGCCGGGGGAGGGAGGGAGGGAGGGCTCGGGGGGGGTGAGGAGCCGGGGCGCGGGGGGCGACGGTTCCCCCATGCCCGGCGGCAGCTCCGGCTCCGCGGGCTCCGGCTTGTCGGGCGGCGGCTGTTCCTTCTCTCCGGTGCCCGTGAATTTGGCCTCGGCGCAGAACCACAAGTGATCAGAGAGCAGGACCGTGAAAAACAAGAGCGATGCCAGGGACAGTCGCCATTTCTGAGCCCTCTCTGAATCCGCGAAGGGTTTCTCGTTCTCCCGGGATGCGAACCAGATTTTTAAGCCGTCGTCATACTGCCGACTGCACATCCAAGCACCCCTGGTCATATTTTGGGAACGCACAGCCCTGGCCGACTCCACCGTGAGGGCTCCTTTGCCGGTGTCACCACAATATGCATTGACTTAAAAGATTGGGGGGATTTTCTTGCCTGTCTTCCTTTGCTCGCTCGCTCGCTCGCTCCCTGTTCCACTCTCCCCCTCTCTCTCTTTCTCCCTCTTCTTTCTTCTTCTTTCTCTTCCTCTGAGATAGCGTCGGGGTTGGCCGGTGGCTCAGCCTTGGTCTCGCCACACGAAGCAGCCCCAGTCCATCCACCGCGGAGTGCCGCGGAGAAAGCGAGAGCGGTAACGCAGAGAGAGGAGGAGGGAGAGGAGATGGTGGTGGTAGTGGTAGTTGGTGGCGGCGGGGCTGAGCGACTGGTCCTTTCCCCTCTCACCCAGGCATGGTCAGAGCGCAGCTCTCCATCTCCCTCCCGAGAAATGCCCGCTGCCCCCGGACAGCCGCATGCCGCGTCCCCCGCTGCCGACGGACGGCTCCGGGAGGGCTCCTCGTCTCCTCTTCCTCCCCGCCGCCGCCGCGGCTCCTCTTCTTCAGCCCCGAGCCGCGGCACAGATGCTGCACCGCTGTCTCCGTCCCTGCTTTCTCCTCTCCCCCCTCCGCTTTAACTGGAGAGACGCTGCTGCAGGGCTCCCGGAGCGCTGCCGAGGATGCTGAAGAGGAGGAGGAGGAAGAGGAAGAGGAGGAGGAGGCTGCCGGGGCCGCCGCCGCCGCCGCTGGTGACAATGAGCTGCGGCTGCCGCCGCTGCTGCCGCCGGGCGCGGTGTCCCCGGGCGCACGGGGCGGAACTGCCTGGCTGGGGGCCCCCGATGGCCACAGGCATCTTGGGCCCTTGGGCTAAGTTGCCGCCATCTTCGTCCTGGAGAAACACTTTTTTGGGGGGAGCTCTGCCTTTTGCGTCATCTCCTCCCGCGCCGAGATCTCTCTATCCTGGCGCATTGGCAGCAACAGCAAGTCTGCCTCCTCCTGCCTGAGGAGGAGGAGGAGGAGGAGGTGGGAGAGGCACTGGGGACCACATGGCCCCTCCAAAGGGCCTCCTCAGTGTAACTCCTTCCACTCGCCTCCTTGCTTCCCCTTGCTGAAGGCACTGCTCAGATCCATGCTCCAGCCCTCTCTCCTCTGCAGGGTCTCCTTCCCCTGTGTCCCCTGATGCCATGTCCGTTCAGGATGACGGCTGCTGTCGTGTCTGTCCTGGTCCTAGCAAATCACAAATGGCACATGAAACCCCAGGGGCTGAATCCCAGCAGGTTTTGGCCCCACAGTAAAATGCCTGAAAATAGCTTCCTTGCCTTCCTGTTGATAATCAGGGAAATGCCCATAAACCCCAAGCTGATCCCACATGAGAAGTTTTGCAGAACCCTGGTCCGGCATGCTTGAGCTGAGTAAGTGCTGCCAGTCTTTGTGTTTCACCTTCTGGATGTCACTGCCTGGAGAGAGAGACAGAGAACATGGTTAACTCTCTTACTAGGGTGATGAAAGTCAGATAGCTGATGATCTCACATCCACAGCAGAGATCCCACTATCTTCTGGACCCTACCAGTAGAATCTCTTGCTTTAATGAACATACTGCTTGGTCACTCCCTGAATTACCTTTATCTTACTTGCTGAGGCTCCTATATGTAACACCAATGGGTGCACTTGGATCCCTCACAAGACAAGAGAAGTGGTTGAATGTTATCAGATGAAGACCTCTACTAGCCTAGTGCTACAAGGTCTTACTCTCAAGACATCATGTATGCTTCTAGTCAGAGCACATGTATGTTTTTATTTCCCTATTGGATTGGAGAAAGTCTTAGAGGACATGCCTCTCCTCATTCCCAAGGTTTCCATCCAGAGGGAAAGGACCATTTGGAACTGGTTAAGGTCCTTGAACAAGGTGCATGCTGTACCCCCAAAGGTAGCTTTCCCTGTTATTTGGTTAAAGAAAGCTTTATCCTTTACCTGGTCATGGTCTATATCATTTCTAATAGCTGATGGCTTTCTAGTTCTGTGAAATTAAATCTGAAACTAGACAAGATCAGTAAATGAAAAAAACTTCAAACTTTTCTGGTTGCAGATGTCATTAACTGAGGAATGAGTTTACCACAGAATGTACTGGAATGTCTATCACTTTGAGCAATAAAGTGAGGTTGGATGTCTTTCAGAAGGAAATGGTATAACTCAAACAGAAGATGCAGACCTGAGGGAGGAATTGCTGAGTGAGGCTTTATGCCCTGTGTAGTGCTGGGGGTCAGGCACATTATCATAATGGTCTCATCTGGCCTTAAAAGATCTATGAGTCAAATTCTACACTGAGCAGAAGATAACTGTGGATTTTATTTTGATAGACTATTTAAAAAGACAGAAATAAATGCTGGTATTGTAAGAGAAAGTCTACAATACTCAATCAGAATGCAGTTTGCAATTCTCAGTCAATCAGCTCTCACCATCTGTTAATGGTGCATTATTAATTTTGGTCTTGGAGCTTTGATTCCAATGATTTGACATACTGGGCCCTTTAGTGTAACTGAATTTTTGTAATGCTTTCCATTCTGGGAGATGACCGTGACCGAGCTTTTAATCAGAACAACGTGAGTCGTCTAACTCACAGTGTCATTTATTTAATTGTATTTTACTTCTTTGCTTATACATTTTTCAGTGGAAAAGCAGGAATGAAACAGGAAAAAAAAAAAAAAAAAAAAAAATCCAGAGCTAAAGAAAACCAAATAACTGGAATAAGCAACAGGTTTTGATATCAGGAAACCTGACATTTTCAGATTTTCAGAATGCTTTGCATAAGATATGTGGCACTGGCGTGATTATTTTCGATTTGGCAGTCAAATGAGGTGGAGGAAGACAGTTTTGGAGTACTCAGTTGGCAAATAGGCTTGATTTTTTTTTAACGTATATGTTTTTTCCTGTGGTTCTGTTGGGAATATGAGAGGATAATAGGCAATTTTGCCATCCACAGGGAAATCAGAAATGTTCTTTATCTCCATAGTTGAATTTTTAGAATTGGTAATAAAAAATGCTGATATTTAGACTTCATCCGAAAGTTAATATAAGAATGCAAGTGCAAGTCTGTGCTCCTCTGTTTACACTTGACTAGGATAAAACAAAATACGCTTCCAATCTGCTGGGATTTTTTAGATACACTTGTCTTCTATGAAAAATCTCAATATTTTCACACATTTCCCAACTTTTGTCTGGCAAAATAGAGTGAGAGTTCTTTTTCAAAACCCCACAACAGACTACAATGAGAAGACATTCAGCATTCCTGAGAGGTGTGTGTCCTTACTCTTCCAGTCTGTTTTCTGTAACAGAGGATGTGTCATGCAGAACTGTTGTCTCGTCTGTTATGTTTCCCCCAAAGCCCCATTCCCTCTCCACCTAGCACGCTGAATCTTACTGTGTTCATTGCAGCAGCTGGTTCCTGATGGATTTGAACAGATGCAGTTCAGTTCTCTGGTGCCCCTTAGTGTTAGGTCTTGGAGCTCGAGGGAAAAAAAATAAGGCTATAAAACCATATCTGAAAATCATGAAGTGACTGTGTGTGGAGGAGGAAAGAATCTGAAGGATATAAAGCTGCCACTTTCTCACAAAGATCCTTTAAAATTTTGCTATCACAAATCTGATGTAAATAAAACAATTTTGTTTAGATTATGCTAATTAATTATATAAACATGAAGAAAAGGGACACACTTTCCTAAAAATACAGAAGTACGTCCCCATATTCATCATTCCTTCTGAAAACCTGTAATTGGTGCAAAATACTGACTTTAATAGAAATGAGAGTTTTTCTTGGGAATATTTATTACACATGTTCTGAAGCTTAGCAAGTACAAAGAATTCATGAAGGTCCATCTCTTTAGCTGGCAGGTCACCAGGTGTTCTGCAGAGAGGTCTCCTTAGAGCAGTGTCAGTGAGTGCCATGCTTTGGTCAGTGCAGTCAGTTCTAGTGCTCTTTAATTCTTTGGCTCATGACACGTAAAATGATAGTTAACTGATCAAGCACTGAGGACAAAGTCTAGCAGAATGAGCTTGCACAGAACTGAAGTGACTTGAAGCTGTTGCTCAAACTAAATGCCATGTGTTTTCCTCAATGAAGTGCTTTAGTTTAACAATCAGAAATAATTCTTGACCAAAAGTTTAATGGGTAATAAAAACCCACCAGAATAAGCAGCTTTAATATTTCATAGTAAATGTTCTTAAAAGTTTGCCTAACATCATACATACAAGTATCCACAATTTCCTGCATTAGTCTCTTGTTTTTCTATGATTTTTTAGTACAAAATTGTGGTAGCTGGAGAACCGTCTTTCAGATGGTTTGTAAGAAGCTTGAGAGCAATATCTTGCCTTTGTAATGTATTATAATTGTATTGCTTATTTATGAAAAATTGTATTTCCTAATTACAAAGCACATTTGTGTGTGTGTAAAATCTTGCACCAGGCTATTTTCAAAATAGTAGAATTTGTTTTGAGTTGTCTGGTTCTACTGGTAAGTGCAATTTTTGCAGCGAATATTAATAAGTCCTCAATTAAAACCTTGCATTAGAATGCCATCAAGAACTTCTAATATCAAACAAATACTTACAGGCCCTTCATCTTTTCATCTTACATCATTATTTTATTTATTTATTTTTACAGTTGAAACAATTTGTATTCTATAGGAAATTATCTGTAGGCAAAATGATAGGCCAAACATGTGCTTTAGCATCTTCAGAGCTGTATAGTTTTGATTTTATTTTAATTTTTTACAGTCATGTCTAGGTATTATTTTACCCATTACCTGTGAAGAGAGTCAGAGATTTAATTATCTGCATCTGTTAACTTACAAGAATGATATCCATGCTGGTTCTATAATATGAGCAATACTGAAGAACATTTTTATTTTCTGCCACATTCATGAAGTTCTACTTTTTCATTGAGATTTTTTTTGGAAAGCTAAGTTATTGTGAGGAAGCTCTTGGCATCTGGGCCTGGTTGCCCAAAGAACTGGGAAATTTTTATTAATGTTAGCAGACACAGATACTACTAATTCCTGTTCATACTGATCTAATTGTTGCACTCTCCTTATTCCTGATTTCCACATTACCTTCAATTTTGTCTCTTTGCCTGAATTTTTTTAAACTTTTCTCACAGAATCAGAGGTTTAACTGTCATCCAATAAAAATATGTCAGACTGGAGTTTAAAAGGCTGTACCATAGAAATTTGGAAGATGTTAATATCATTTAGTTGATTGAATTATCTTGCAGATGTTTGCTCTGAGTCTGTTGAGACTTCTTGCTAGAGAATGAGAGCATGTTTTTGTTTGTTGACATTTTCAGCCACAGAAGAGTGAACAGATAATATGGCATCTAGAAGTCCAGTATTTTCTCACAAAAATTGTAGGTCATCTTTATTATGACAACTTTATAATGAGAGCTCAATCGTAGTTACATCCAGCTGGTATATTTGGGCATGAGCTGAAATGAGCAGAGGCTATTCTTCATTAACCGAAACCATCAAGCAAGTGAAATATAACTTTTGCACATGACTGCAGCAGGAAGATAATATAAATGTCTCACTCAAATTAGTCTATGCCTATTAGAGTAAGGTCTGATCCAAAGCATGCTGAGATCAGGAGAAAGATTGCAATGGGTTTTTAAA